AACATTTCCCTGATGAGGGGTCTGTCTGTAGACATGGTAGAAGCTAAACTTGATATACACTGTATGTCATGTATGTGCTTGAACAAAACCAGGGGGCAAGAGGATTTGACCCGAAGACAAAGGTACAGAATTAGTACATGTAGGTATAAAGTTGAAAGAGTACCATTTGATTTTGTGGGATTAGGATTTTGAAAATGAATATCGTACCCACTGAATAAAATAAGCAACAGATGAAAATGAATAGTCATAAGGCAATCTGCAAAAATTCCTTCTGGCCCCCAAAAATATCAAATGGTCATAGGGCAAATAATTATGACGTCACGAACATGTTGAAGGGCTATTTTAATTTTTTTTTCTGTGACACCTTCCTTTGGACAAATGGTCGTCTAATTATTTGTCAATTTGTTATACCTTGCATAAACGGGGAGACCTCCAATTACTTCACAATTCATAAGTACAACAAGAGTGCACACGCTCAAATGTCTCGCCTGTTTTACTTATTGAATTTATCATGTTTATGTTGAAAATCTGTAACAGGAAGGGTTTACTACAAGTATCACATAAACTTAAAATTATAAAAAATGAGGTCTTGGTCAGATGAACCAGGCCAGACAGACATGTACACCTTACAATCATTCCATACAACAAATATAGTTGACCTGTTGCTTAGACTTACAGTATCTGATAAACTGGCAAAATTAAGAAAACTTATCATAGACCAATGAACCATGAAAATGAGGTCAAGGTCAGATAATACCTGCCAGACAGGCATGTACATCTTGCAATTGTTCCATTACACCCAACATTGCTGACCTATTGCTACATTATATTAGTATTTGGAAAACTGACCAAAACACAAAAACCTAACATTGACCAATGAACCATAAAAATGAGGTCGAGGTCAAATGAAACCTGCTAGACTGACATGTACTCCTTACAATCCTTCCATACACCACATATATAATTGACCTTCTGATTATAGTATCTGAGAAACAGACCTAATCATGTAACTTTAAACTTGATCACTGATCAATGAAATGAGGTCGAGGTCAGGTGAACCCTGTCTGACTGACATGTAGGGGTTGCAAGGAACCCATTTATCAAATATAGTTATCTGACATGTAGGGGTTGCAAGGAACCCATTTATCAAATATAGTTATCCTACTACTAAGTGAGAAATACACATAACAAAATAACTAAATTTGTTTTCAGACAGTTGCTGAACCATGAAAATGAGGTGGGGTGACCGTGTCTAGTCTGTTAAAGGTACCCAGAAGAGTGTTCAGGGCATCTCTTTCTGAACAAATGAATTTGGATTGTATTATGTGTGGATGTTAATTATAAGGATATATCGACATAAAAAACTGTGACGGAAATGTGTTTTGCACGAAAGGACAAGGTGAATGCAACATATTCCAACTGTAGGTATAATAAAAACATATTTACATAATTTACATTTTATCCATGTTAGATGTTCTTTTTGGAAATAAGTCATTCATTAAATAAGGTATTAAAAGCATGAAAAGCAACTAAAGTTTTATTTTTGTATTGACAGAAATGTAAATATCTGCTGCAGTGACTGCACTGTTTTAATTTGCTTGGTTCTGAAACTCCTGAGCAAATGATGTGTTTAGATAATGATTAAATTGTATCATACAGTTGTTTTTCTTACTCTACCAGATTACATGTATATTCACTGCTGCCCCCTCCCCCCTTATTTTTTAATAGTTAAAATTTACCATGCAGGAAAAGGGAAACCATCTACATATTTTAATTATGTCTGAATTAATTGAAGTTTATTGTCTCTACATGTTTTTTTGAAAGTTCTCCACTACTAGGGTAGTTTTGAATGCATTTCACAGTACTTGCTAGATTTTTTTTCCAGCTTTTTTGTTTGTGCATGTGTATTTATATATACATATATATATATATAACTCGTCTAAACAACAGCCACAACAATTTAGATCTGTAAATTTGCTTTCGCAAATTTTTTGTTCTTCCCTCGCCGGGATTCGAACTCATGCTACTGAGATATCGTGACACCAAATCGCCTGCACTATATATATCAAAATTGCGGACATTATGCCTAGATGTAGTCCACTCGTCCACAACAGCCTCGTGTATATATATATATTTATCCACAGGAAAACATTTCACTGCTATGAATATTGATGTACAACAATGTCTTTTTTATGTAGGTGCAAAATAAATAGCATACAGTGCGAAATAAATAGCATACAGCCATACAACAATGTTTAATATGTGGAGAATATACATTAAAAAAAACCCTGCTTTTTGGCACATTTTCACACTTATGCAAATACATGTACTAATACAAATGTATTGATTCAGTTGTGAAGGTAATAGACACTGAAAACAGTTTTTAGTTTTGAATGTTTTTTTCACCTGTTTACTATAGTCAGGTGGAAGTTTGTTTCTTATTTCAAAGAGAAGGGCACTAATGATCAAGATATATTTATTTTTGCATATAGTGACATCTACTTGCTTTTTACTGACTGTTTTTATCAGTAATTTGTATAAGTTTTATGTGCATGTGCTGTACATTTTATTTACATATAATATGTTTAATATAATTTATTGACATGTCTATTTTCAGGACATCCGATCCGTGCAGTAAGTGTGTTTGTAGTGGTGTTCAAGAAGTATATCACTGGATTGAGCTCTCTGTCTAAGTGTATTATTAAAGTGCTTTGCATTAAGCTCAGTTCATTGTTATGCCAATGCCTTCTTTGTTAAAATGAGATTCATAAACAGACAACCATATCTACATATGAAAAACTAAGGTAAGATTATTGAAATTGTCAATACAGGAATTATTGAAGCTGCATCCACAGATTGAACGCAGTTAAAGGGGGGATTAAAGCATTTTATTTTAATTCGAACCAAACATTTTGCATCCAGATAGCCAAATAAAAAAAACACATTGAAATATACCAAACATTGCTACATGGAAAATGATGCCAAGTGGTTAGTAACACTTTTTTTAACCATTTGTACTGCCTACTGAAGAGTCCAGAGTGCAACTGGTCATTCTTTCATACATATGGAAAAAACTCATAATGCTTAGTCAGTCCCTAAATTATCTTTCATTGTTCAACTTTTATCATTCATTCGTTATTTTTAAATTTGTGTTAATGTTATTTACCAGATTATAGCACTGTTTATTTTTATACCACAACAAAACTGCATCCCACAGGTTTCATTTATATTTTTATCCACATAACAAAAACCTTAAAACAAGAATAATTCTGCAATACTTTTTTCAAATCTCTTTTAGTCTACACTATTGTCATAATTTATTTATAGAAATTAAGAATCATAATCAAATAAATTGGATATATACCATCTTATTAAAATTATATCATACTGGTAAATTTGTCTGTTATCGTGTTCATATAACTACAACCAGGTCTTGGAGAATATAAGAAAAAGAAATTTTCAAAGAAAGAATTAAAATACATGTGTAATACAACAAAAGTGTACTTTCTTGCTCATCTAGCCTGGCAGATATTATCATCAATTTGAACTATTAGACATCTTCTAAGAAACAATTTCGTACATGTAAACGATATGTTTTACTAATGATACTCAGATGATCCTTTAAGCTTAACTACAGTGTTCCAAATAAGAAATGCCCACCAAAACGGACAGAATTAGAACCATACGAGGAGAAAATACATACAGGTTCTTATAAACCATCTTGCATATTTAAATCACATATAATGCAGAAATGCAGCTTATGTGTTCCTCTACTAATTTTGAGTTTTTGCTTTTATCCAAAAGCAAAATAGTGGAACATATTTTAACAGAATCTGTTGGAAATCCATATAACATGATAAAAAATGTTTCCTCCATGATAATCTTTAACATAAAACCCAAATATTGAATAACAGACACTACAATTTTTTAGTGTTTGGTTGTGGTCTGATATTGATGATGGCTGTCACTGTGGAACACAGTTTAACGTAGAACACTATGGGAAAAAACCCATAGAAAACTTTTTTGTCAGAAAACACTGTCAAACATTCAAACATACTATCCATACTGAACTGTGTCCACACTTGTACAAATATTAATATAATATATAACAACAAACCAGATTACACTGATAACAAATGATTGTCCCATGATTATATCACTACAATATAATAATTATTACGGTGACGTTGAATTCTCTGTCATTTGTTCATCATCCACACAGGAACTTGTCTAAAAAAAAAAAAAATATGTACCTTAACCTTACTTTCAGGTATAGAGATATTTTATTCTTTCTGAGACAAGAGCCTGGGACTATCCACTAGAACTTGCGGTCATCCGATGTTCAGTATTTCAGTACTTTGATTTGTATTCTTGTCCCTCATTTTTGCTTATGTGCTTTGTCTATATGCCATTTTGTTTTTCTTTGTTAAGATATTTGTTTGTTTTTTATAGTGATTAAAATTATAACACAATGTTGGCTGCTGTTCCCCTATTTTTGACAACTTTACCTATTATGTCTGTTTGTTTTGTTTTCACACATTGTTGTCAATATAATGGAATTGTATGCGACTGTGAGAGGATTAGCTAGCTATAAAACCAGGTTTAATCCACCATTTTCTACATAAGGAAATGTCTGAACCAAGTCAGGAATATGACAGTTGTTTTCCATTCGTTTGATGTGTTTGAGCTTTAGATTTTGCCATTTGATAAGGGACTTTCTGTTTTTAATTTTCATTGAAGTTCGGTATTTTTGTTATTTTACTTTATAAAGTATTTTGTCTACTAATTTATATTTTCGACTCTTATTTTTTGTTTGTTATCTTATTTTAGTGGTTTTAACATCCAGCACAGACTCTTGCTATCTACAACATACTTTATAACTTCTATTTTCTTAATAACAAAATCAAAGAAATTTATCGGTTCTTTTCAATCATTTCTTTACATTTTTTACAAAGATATAAAAGTGCTTCATACTTGAGGCATTTATGCATCAACACAGATTGATGGTATGATCTTGTTATTTATTGTCATGCACCCAACCTTTTTAAACAGTGGTGCCTTAGGTAGCAATACACAGTTAGGTACAAAAAGATTAAAATTGACACTCATAACTTAAAAAACCTCTTACCTTACTTTCTAACAAAAAAGGCATACTGTTTGTGTCATATATGTGCCTATATATGGAAACAAGATCTTCCATAGATTTGCTTTCCAATAGTTTAAATGGTGAAATATTACCTCTTTTTGGTGTAACCATATGGCAGCAATCTGCATTTATTTTATACAAAATATTGCAAAAAGGGGGATGAAAATGTCACAAAAGTCCTCAACATTTATACCTCAGTAGAATTTCAATCCGTTTGAGTGAAACCTTTTCTGAAACCATTTACATTTATCTATCCAGAGTTCAATAAAAATGATATGCATTTCATCTCATTTTCCATAAATTTGCCATAAAGGTGAAATGAAAAGTTTTGTTGGAAAACAGTACAATAATTTCTGGACATATGTTGGGTGATGGTTGGCACCTATTAAACCCGCTGCATTTGTTTGCACCTGTCCTAAGTCAGGCACCTGATGTTCAGTGGTTGTTGTTTGTTGAAGTGTTTCTCGTTTCTCGTTTTTTATATAGATTAAATCGTTGGTTTTCTTGTTTGAATGGTTTTACGGTAGTTATTTTTCGGGCCCTTTATAGCTTGCTGTTCGGTGTGAGCCAAGGCTCCGTGTTGAAGGCCTACTTTGACCTATAATGGTTTACTTTTACAAATTGTGACTTGGATGGAGAGTTGTCTCATTTGCACTCATACCACACACATCTTCTTATATCTATATATGGGCGGTACAGATGTGAAAATATGGACAGTCAGACCAAATATGGCATATAAAACATGCAAAAAACAATCTTGATGTTCATATAAACCTACTTTAAAGGCTCTATTATTCTTCAGCTATCTAAATAAATATCAGTTTTACTGAACAAAAACTTTCATTTTTGAAAAATTCACCGTTGCCAAAATGCGACACCAAACTTTTAACTGAATATTGCAACATGAGGCTGAACATGGATCAGCATCTAAAATAAATCTTGTCTTCAATTATTCTCACTAGGTAATTAATTAGGTGAGTTAGCACAATCACTCCAAACAACACTAACTTTAATAAATCAGTTGGAGAATGCAACCATAATAAAATAACTTTTTGGAACCAATATTTAAAAATTTCTTAATTTAGTAACTTATGTTCATCTATTTCATCTAAACTCTTTTAAAATTTATATTAGAAAGTAAATAGAGTCAAGGTGAAATAGATGTATAATAAATTCCCTGTACATGAGAGATTAGCGTCAATTCTAACACCTAAAAGTTTTTTTCTATTTATAAGTGACCACCGTCATTAGGTTGACTATCCTGTCACTGTTTGGTGTATGTGCACTAGCATAATTAATAATTAATTACAGAAAGAAAAATGAAATTTTGCTGTACTTAACATTTATACGTAGTACTGCGAATAAACACATGAAACTTGAAACGAGTCGAGACTTTCTGCCGCAGTCACCGAGACAGTAAGATGTGCCAATCTCTTATCTTTTTGGGTAGATGGACTCTTTCCTCATGCTGGTCTTGCAAGATAGTATTTGGAAAGAGTGAATTTGTGTATGTCTTGATAATCTGTCTGGTGGTATAAGTATGCCACCGGCGTTGATCTTCACTTCTTTGTTTGAAATTTTGACTCAATGATTTTTGAAGAACATTGTTTTTTTAATATTTAGTACCGGTTCTTCATACTGGAAACAGTCTTTTGTCTTGTACCTACCACTACACTTAGTTTTATTAATATATGTGAACATCTAATTTTCATAACACCATTTGTCAACACACCGGAGATCATCTTGTACATGTCAGTATTATTCTTTCCTAATGTATTCATAGTTGTGTCGTCTGAATTTAAGTTTCTAAAAGTTCACATTTCAGATTTTATAAACAAAAGCTGTTTGGTATATTTTATAATCCCAATCATCAGTCTCATCACTTGTTTCCCTTATTTTACTTGACACAATCATCATTCCTGTTTCTCTGTGTATGTCTATATTTACAGGATAATTGATGCCGTCAGCCTCTGATAGTATTTTCTTACAGGTTTTACCATCTGGTGATACTACCACGAAGTTGTTGTTTCCACGAGAAGTTATATAAACAAAGCCATACTTGTCTAATGCAATTCCTTCTGGACTGTCAATGTCATGATGCTGAAATGTCCACAGAGGTTCTCCAGTTTCTTTGTAGCAGCAGACTTTGTTGTCAGAGAAAACAGTACCATAGATATTTCCTCCAAATAATGATATACCTGTTATTCCTACACCTTCTAAGATTGTTTGAGACACATCATTCAGATTAACAATAGTACTTTTCTCCGCATTGCTGATCATCAATATTTGACCATCACTTGCTACTCCACAACAGGAATGAGACAGTTTAATTGTTTGAATAATTGTATTCTTTTCTATATCCACCAGTGCTGTCTGGTATTCTGATCCTAATGTGACAGCCACTGTATTATTTCTGACAAAGCAAGCATCATGAATATATTCTGTGAATGTAATTACTTTTCTTTCAAAGATGCCATCATTACCAAATAGGAGGAGGGCATGACTATTATAATTTTTACTGTTAAGTGTTAGATACTTTCCATCAGGTAATATCCTACAAGCAGTTAAACCCATATATTTCATATCTTCTGGAATTTTCAGAGTTCTCAACATTGATGGTTTAATTTCTTCAATTCTAGGAACAGTTGATACTAAGTTCTGTGCTTGATTTTTTCTTCCAGACTTAGTTCGAAGAGTAGATTGGCTGGTATTTATGTTGATATCACCAAACGATTTGACATCTTGTAAAATTGATTGCATGGCATATGAAATGATTACCTCTAAGTTATTTTCTTTTAAATTGTCTCCACTTTTTAATTCATCTATGTATTTTTCTACTTTGGATGTAGTTTTCTCAATTTCTCTCAGACCAAAATACATTTGTAGCTCAGTTGCAGATTGTGTCATTTTAGAAAACTCACTTTGTAATTGGCTGATCTCATTGGCTTGCTGTGTCACTTGTTGTAGTAAGAAGGTCATCTTAGATTTAAGCTGTGATTGCTTTGATTCTAGGTCATCAAGCATTTCTTGTTCTAATTTGTATAAGAAATCATCTATAGACTTCCTCATGGATCGAATTTGTTCAGCAGCTTTTGTTTTCTGTCTTTTGTTTGTATCAATCCTACTGAATAAATGTTTAATAATCTCCTCTAAGTTTTCCTTCACATTCTTCAAATCTTTTTCAAAAAGTTGTACAGAGGCAGATGATTTTACTTGCTTTAAGATATGTGACAGTGGTTTCAGGTCTTGACATTTTTTGTGTTTATCTGTGATGCATGTGATACAGCAGGGACAGTCGTGGAAAGAACAGTAAAGTTCAAACCTTTTCTTGTGGTCTCGGCACTGGCTACTTATTTCTAGCATGAATTTTGGCAATTTATGGTAGTCTTTAGTTGACATGGTTTTATGGTCTTTAGATGTTCTTGATTTTGTGTGGTGTTTTTCACAGTCTGTACATAGGAACACCTCACATTCTATACACCATGTGACAGCATCTGTAGACGATCTATCATTATCATAACAGAGGGTACAAAAGTACCTACCTGATGAGGCCATATTTTCTCTTTTAATTTCTGAAATATAGAGGAGAAAATGTTTTTGAAAAATATAAAATGATACATGCAAACTGCACTATCACCAAGAATCAAGTTGGCAAAGAGAGAAAATGAACTAACATAAAAGAATTAAGTCTACTTCATATCTTGACTTACATCTAGATATTGACAATGAGGGTCAGTTGAAAACAAAACTTTATGACAAAACGGATAATTTCTGCATCCAAATTGTGAACTTTCCATTTCCGTGTAGCAATATTTCAGCAATGCCTACCTAAATATAGTCTAGAGTATATATCTCCTAATTGATATAATATTCCAGAGCTTGCCTTTCCTATTAAGATATCCCTTCGAAAACTAAAAAGTTTTAAAATGAGATGCAAATGATTTTTATACGACTGCAAATGTTTGCGTTGTATCATGATATGACACTGCCGTCTGCATCGTCGTCTGAAGACACATGGTAACCAGACAATAACTTGAGTATACATGTATGGATCTCTATGAAATTGTACTACAAGGTTTCATACCGCAAAAGGATGGTTGGGATTGATTTTGGGGGTTAGTGTCCTAACTGATTAGGAATTAAGCCAAAAACAAGTATTTTTCTTGTTTCAGGACAATTACTTTTGTATAAGTGTATGAAACTTTATGAGATTGTACCACAAGGTTCCAGACATCAAAGAAAGGTTTGGATTGAGTTTGGGGTTATGACCATATCTTTTTAGGAAAAGGGGGCCAAAACAATATTTTTCTAATACTTTGTATAAATTGCTTGTTTCTAGACCAATTTCAATGGAGTTTAATTCAAAGTCTTGAATTCTTGGGGTTCTTTAAATGCCAATCTAACCATTTATTTAGATTTTTTATTTCAGTGGTTTCAAATTGGTCCACATTAATGTTCAAAGGGTCCAAAATTAAACTTTGATTTCAACAAATATTGAATTCTTGGGGTTCTTTCATATGTTTAATCCAACTGTGTATTTAGAGTTTTAATTTTGGGCCCGGCTTTTCAAATTGGTCAACATTAATGTTCAAAGGGTCCAAAATTAAACTTTGATTTCAATCAAATTGAAATCTTCGGGTTCTCTCATATGCTGAATCTAACTGTGTGTTAAGAGTTTTGATTTTGGGCCGGGTTTCCAAATTGGTCCACATAAAGGTCCAAATGGTCCAAAGTTTAACTATGTTTGATTTAAACAAAAAGGGAATTCATGGGGTTCTTTCATATACTGAATCTAACTGTGTATTTAGAGTTTTGATTTTGGGCCCGGTTTTCAAATTGTTCCACATTAAGGTTCAAATGGTCCAAAGTTAAGTTTTATTTTAACAAAAAGTGAATTCAGGTGTTCTTTGATATGCTGAATCTAAACATGTACCTTGACCTATAATGGTTTACTTTTATAAATTGTTACTTGGATGGAGAGTTGTCTCATTGGCACTCATACCACATCTTCCTATATCTATTTAGATTTTTGAATTTAGGCCAAGTTTTCAAGTTGGTTCAAAACAGAGTTTAAAATTAAACTTTTGTTTGATTTCAACGAAAAATGAATATATGCAGTTCTTTGATAAGCTGAATCTAAACCATGTATTTAGATTTTGGATTTTGGGCCCAGTTGACAAATTGATACAGGTTGAGGTCCCAAGGATTTGAAATTTGACTTTGTTTGATTTCATCATAAATTGAATTGTTGTCGTTATTTGATATGCTGAATCTAACCATGTATTTAGATTTAGACATTGGACCAATTTAAAGATGAATGTTCAATTTTAAATCTTTAAGTTCTTTGACTACATTTGTTCCCTGTCAGAAACCTATGCTGTGTCGAATATTTAATCACAATCCAAATTCAGAGCTGTATCAAGCTTTAATATTGTGTCCATACTTCCCCCAACTATTCAGGGTTCAATCTTGGGGTCGTATTAGGCTGTGCCCTGCATATCATTTTATGTTATTTATTATGTTAACAAGTATTACATCAAACAAGTCATTTTATATGAAAAACTTTTATTGTTCAGAGATTGCCTGAACATAATGTATCAGTCTTTAAATCTGCCAACACGATTCTGTTTAATCAAGAAAAATTACTGCATACTTTTAAGTAAGAAGTTCAGAAAGGCTTGCTTCCCAATCCTTTTTTGGTCCAAATTTTTAGCTCGCCTGGCCAAAAGGGCCAAGTGAGGTTTTCTCATCACTTGGCGTCCGTCGTCCTTCGTCCGTCGTCGTCGTTAACTTTTTACATTTTGAACTTCTTCTAGAGAACCACTGAATAGAATGAAACCAAACATGGCATGAATGTTCCTTATGAGGTGTTGACCAAGTGTCGTTACTTTCAAGCCGATCCATCATCCAAGATGGCCGCCAGCGTGGGACTTAGGTTAACATTGGACCCTATGGGAAATACATACAAATGTCTTCTTTTAGAGAACCACTGAATGGAATGCTTCCAAACATGGCATGAATGTTCCTTATGAGGTGCTGACCAATTCTTGTTAATTTAAAGCCGATCCATCATCCAATATGGCCGCCAGCGGGGGACTTAGGTTAACATAGGACCCTATGGGAAATACATACAAATGTCTTCTTTTAGAGAACCACTGAATGGAATGAAATCAAACATTGCATGAATGTTCCTTATGAGGTGCTGACCAAATGTCGTTACTTTGAAGCCGATCCATCATCCAAGATGGCCGCCAAGGGGGGGGGGACTTAGTTTAACATAGGACCCTACGGGAAATACATACAAATGTCTTCTTTTAGAGAACCACTGAATGGAATGCTTCCAAACATGGCATGAATATTCCTTATGAGGTGCTAACCAAGTGTCGTTACTTTGAGGCGATCCATCTTCCAAGATGGCCGCCAGCGGGGGACTTAGTTTAACATAGGACCCTATGGGAAATACATACAAATGTCTTCTTTTAGAGAACCACTGAATGGAATGAAACCAAAAATGGCATGAATGTTCCTTATGAGGTGCTGACCAAGTGTTGTTACTTTCAAACCGATCCATCATCCAAGATGGCCGCCAACATGGGTACTTAGTTTAACATAGGACCCTATGTGAAATACATACAAATGTCTTCTTTTAGAGAACCACTGAATGGAATGAAACCAAACATGGCATGAATGTTCCTTATGAGGTTCTGACCAAGTGTTGTTTCTTTGAAGCCGATCCATCATCCAAGATGGCCGCCAGCGGGGGACTTTTTTTAACATAGGACCCAAAGGGAAATACATACAAATGTCTTCGTTTAAAGGACCACTGAATGGAATGAAACCAAACATGGCATGAATGTTCCTTATGAGGTGCCGACCAAGTGTCGTTACTTTGAAGCCGATCCATCATCCAATATGGCCGCCAGCGGGGGACTTAGTTTAACAAAGGACCCTATGGCAAATACATATTTATAAGTGTCGTTTTATAGAGAACCACTAAATGGAATGAAACCAAACATGGCATGAATGTTCATTATGAGGTGCTGACCAAGTGTCGTTACTTTGAAGCCGATCCATTATCCAAGATGGCCGCCAGCGGGGGGGGGGGACTTAGTTTAACATAGGATCCTACGGGAAATACATACAAATGTCTTCTTTTAGAGAACCACTTAATGGAATGAAACCAAACAACATGGCATGAATGTTACTTATGAGGTGCTGACCAAGTGTTGTTACTTTGAAATCGATCCATCATCCAAGATGGCCGCCAGCGGGGGATTTAGTTTAAAATAGGACCCTATGGGAAATACATACAAATGTCTTCTTTAAGAGAACTACTGAATGGAATGAAACCCAACATGGCATGAAAATTCCTTATGAGGTGCTGACCAAGTGTTGTTACTTTGAAACCGATCCATCATCCAAGATGGTTGCCAGCGGGGGATTTAGTTTAACATAGGACCCTATGGGAAATACATACAAATGTCTTCTTTTAGAGAACCACTGAATGGAATGAAACCAAACATGGCATGAATGTTCCTTATGAGGTGCTCACCAAGTGTTGTTACTTTGAAGCCGATCCATCATCCAATATGGCCGCCAGCGGGGGACTTAGTTTAACATAGGACCCTATGGGAAATACATACAAATGTCTTCTTTTAGAGAACCACTGAATGGAATGAAACCAAACATGGCATGAATGTTCCTTATGAGGTGCTGACCAAGTGTTGTTACTTTGAAGCCGATCCATCATCCAAGATGGCCGCAAGCAGAGGACTTAGTTTAACGTAGGACCCTATGGGAAATACATACAAATGTTTTCTTTTAGAGAACCATTGAATGGAATGAAACCAAACATGGCATGAATGTTCCTTATGAGGTGCTGACCAAGTGTTGTTACTTTGAAGCCGATCCATCATCCAAGATGGCCGCCAGGGAGGGGGACTTAGTTTAACATAGGACCCTATGGGAAATACATACAAATGTCTCCTTTTAAAGAACCACTGAATGGAATGAAACCAAACATGGCATGAATGTTCCTTATGAGGTGCTGACCAAGTGTTGTTACTTTAAAGCTAATCCATCATCCAATATGGCCGCCAGCGGGGGACTTATTTTATCATAGGACCCTACGGGAAATACATACAAATGTCTTCTTTTAGAGAACCACTGAATGGAATGAATCCAAACATGACATGAATGTTCTTTATGAGGTGGTGACCAAGTGTCGTTACTTTGAAGCCGATCCATCTTTCAAGATGGCCGCCAGGGGGGGGGGACCTAGTTTAACATAGGACCCTATGGGAAATACATACAAATGTCTTCTTTTAGAGAACTACTGAATCGAATGAATCCACACGTGGCATGAATGTTCCTTATGAGGTGCTGATCAAGTGTCGTTACTTTGAAGCCGATCCATCTTCCAAGATGGCCGCCAGCGGGGGACTTAGTTTAACATAGGACCCTACGGGAAATACATACAAATGTCTTCTTTTAGAGAACCACTGAATGGAATGAAACCAAACATGGCATGAATGTTCCTTATGAGGTGCTGACCAAGTGTTAGTACTTTGAA